CATTGTTACTATGTAGTTCAGAACATTTTTCCTGTACTCATTAAGCCGTCACTTCCTATTTCCACCTTCCCCCTGCCCCTGGAAACCTTTTTGTATTTGCTTTAATCTGCTGTTTTTATAGATTTTACTATTCTGGATATTTTGTGTAAATGGACTCATATAATATGTGGTCTTTTGTGACTGGCTTCTTTTACTTAGCATAATATTCTCAAAGTTTGTCCGCATTTAGCATGTATTATTAATAGTACTTCATCCCTTTTTAAGGCTGAATAATCCATTGTATGGTTATACCACATTTTGTTTGTCCATTCATTTGTTGATGGATATTTGGGTTGTTTCCACCTTTGGCTCTTGTGCATACTGCTGCTATGGACATTTATGTACAGTTTTTGTTGGAGCACCAATTTTCGATTCTTTTGAGTATATACCTTGGAGTGGAAGTGCTGTGTCACATGTTAATTCTATGTTTAACTTTTGAGGAACCACTATGTTTTTTTTCAGAGGCTGAGAGAACCGTTTTACATTCCCACCAGCAATGTCTGAAGGTTCCCATTTCTCCACATCCTTATCAACACTTGTTATTTTCTATTAAAAAAAATTATAGCCTAGTGGGTATGAAGTGATATCTTGTTGTGGTTTTGATTTGCATTTCTCTAATGACTAATGATCTTGAGCATATTTTCATGTGTTTATCAACCACTTGTATATTTTCTTTGGAGAAGTGTCTATTTGAGTCATTTGCCCAATTTTTAATTGGGTTGCCCTTTTGTTGTTGCATTGGAATTCTTCATATATTCTGGATACTAGAGCCTTGTCAGATATATGATTTGCAAATATTTCCTCTCATTCTGTAGGCTGTCTTTTCACTTTTTGATAGTGTCTTTTGATGCACAAAACTTTAAAATTTTGATGATGTCCAATTTATTTATTTTTTCTTTTTTGCTTATGTTTTTGGTGTCATATCTAAGAAACCATTGCCAAATCCAAGGTCATGAAGATTTACTCCTATGCTTTCTTCCAAGAGTTTTATAGTTTTAGCTCTTAAACGTTGTTCTTTAATCCATTTTGAGTTAATGTTCATGTGTAAACTTCATTCTTTTTCATGTCCATATCCAGCCTTGCCACTACCATTTGTTGAAGAGACTATTATTTCCCCATTGAATGGAGTTTTCATCCTTGTCAAAAATCAACTGACCATATATGCCTGGGTTTATTTCTGGACTCTCAATTCTATTCCATTAGCCTATATTATATGTTTGTCCTTATGCCAGTATCACACTGTTTCATGCAATTTTTTTTTTTTTTTGAGACAGGGTCTCATTTTGTTGCCTTGGTTAGAGTGCAGTGTTGTCATCACAGCTCACTGCAACTTCAAACTCCTGGGCTCAAGTGATCCTCCTGGCTCAGCCTCCCAAGTAGCTGGGACTACAGGTGTGCACTACCATGCCTGGCTAATTTTTCTGTTTTTTTTGTAGAGACTGAGTCTTGCTATGTTGCCAGGCTGGTCTTGAACTCCTGGCCTCAAGTGATCCTCTTGCCTTGGCCTTCCAAAGTGCTAGGATTACAGGTGTGAGCCACCACGCCCAGCCTCATGCAATTTTAAAGGAAGATCTTTATGGATTATTTCCAAAAGTTTTTTTGGGGAGCTGGCCTAGATACAAGGATCCCTGTGGAGCAGGCAATTCCAAGATCCAAACTTGAGGCAATGGGAAGTGGACTAGACTCTGGTGGTGGTGATGTAGAGATGGGGAGAGATTTGAGAGCTGTTCGGGAGCCAGAATTAGAAGAACTTGGCCCGAATTGGGTGCAGCAAGTGAGAAGGAGAGTAGTCAAGGATAATGCTGTTTCTGGCTGGGCTGGTGGTGCCAGTTCCTTGCGATGGATGAGAATAGAAGGGTCTTATTTGGGGGGAAAATGGAGAGTTCTGTTTTGAAGTCTCTGGGTCTGAGGTGCCCCAATGTCAGATGTTGTGTGTCCTTACGTGTGTGCGCACACTTACTTACACAAGTGCCTAACACATTCAGGGCCCATACATCTGATAAATGTGTTCTCAATGAGGAACTGGGCGATCTATTGTCAGTTCCACGCCCCGAAGGCTTTAGCAACCCTTGTTCAGGGCCGGGAAGGGTTCATTGAGCTGAGGGAGAGAGGATAGCAATCGGTCAAAGATTCTCTCTGTCTTGGACAGGACCAGCTCTTTTATGGCCATGCTACACCCTCCATTCGGGGCCCCAGGACTCGGGGGCAAAGGCCACTAGGCAGTCTGTGGCTATCTGTTGTAAGCAGTGAGCTCTTTAGCTCTCTTGGGTCCCACCCAAGCCCCTCAATGCCACTGCTCCTCCCACGGCACAATGTCCATTTGGTGGAGGGCAAGCCACGGGCTGCCTGATACTGCCAGGCACTTCTGAACCCTTGACCGGCTGTTGTAGCATGGAGCAAGAGGACTGAGGCAGCAGGAGAACATGGGGCAATCCGACTTTCCCCATGGAAGAGGGAGGGTCAGCCCGGGTTGAGACCTGTGGCCTTCTGCCCAGTGACCTGGTATTGTGTGTCTATTGGGTTGGGGGACAGAGATTATTACTTTCTCCCTCAGCCCAAACAAGTTAGGTCTTTGAAAATCCTACTCACTGCCTCCTAGGCTGCACCAATCCATATTTTTCCAGGTTGAAAATGTCTCCCTTTGGTAGCTGCGGCCCTTGCGTGTGTGTGCTCGTGCACAGGTGGGAGGGATGATCAAGGGAAGATCCAGGCACCTCCTTACATTAAAAAAGGCAAAATTATGAACCTAAAATTAAGTACAGGGCTTTACAAAGGGATTGTGAAGTCAAGGAGCCCCCACAGTTTAAATTCATTAGCTTCAGGGTAAAATCGCCCCTGGTGCTGATGGTGAGGTGGCCCTTCCTGCTTCTGAACAGGCGCGAAACTGTGCGGGAACCACTTGCTTGGAATGAAGCTGGCTCCCTGTGGGTGCTGAGCGCCTCAGTCCTCTGCCTGCAGTGCCTGGCAGACAGCACTACAACAAGTAGCTATAAATACCATTTAGGGAAGGCCTTCGGTGGGCCATGTGCTCTGTGCCAGGCACTGTAGCTACATCCTCCCTACCCCCGGGCTTTATGCCCCTAGTCTTAGAGATGAGGACGACAGTGGCCAGAGGGGAAAAGTCTCTTGCCCAGTTCACTCACACTAGCAAGAGGATGAGCTGGGAATTGAACTCAGGACTATATAATTCCAAATCTGTGGTCTCTTCAAAGCCCAGCTATTAATATAAAGATACACAGCCAAATTTGTGGAGTGAATAAATGGTTTAGTGAATGAGTTAGCACATGAATGAATAATAAATGAACGAGTGATGAAATGAGCTAGTGAAAGGATCAAATGAAGAAGAGAGAAAAGTAAATATTGAAATAATGAGCTCAAACGTACTGAGCGTTCGCTGAGTGCCAGGTGCTCTGCTGGACATTAGAAATCGGCCGAGCACGGAAGACACAGTCTCTGCTCTTTTGGGGCTTATTGGCTAGTGGGGAGCCAGATACTGTGTGCCAAGAAAGGGGATGTGAACAAGGTGCCCCGAGAACTTACAGGTGGCCCTCACCTGTCAGGGGACTCAGAAGGCTCTTAACATTTGAGCTGATCCCTGAAAGGCTGGAGCCGTAGGCACCAGCTGGGGAAGGGGAGTGAAGGGATGCCCAGCTGGTGGAAGGCCCACCCCTGACTGGGAGAGCCTGGTTCTCTGCAGTAAGTCAATGGAGTTGAGCAAGGGTGGAATGGAGATGGGAAGCGGGCATATTGGAGGGGCAAGAGGGTGAAAAGAGGACTGGGACCAGACACAGAAGGGCCTTTTAGGTTTGCTAACAACTGGGGACTGTGTCCTAAAGACAACAGGAAGCCATGGAGGGATGTAGGCAGGGGGCTGGCGTAGAGATGGTCTTGGCTGCCTGGAGGGCCAGTGGGGTGAGTAACCTTCTCCTTGACCTTCACTTCTTGGCATATACAATGGGGCAATAATATTTAACTTCCAGGAGTAGGCTGCGCGGTAGGTGTTGAAAAGTCACTCTTCCCCTGACTTGGTTTCCTTCTGCATCTCCTCCCAGGGGCCCACTCCTGCTTAAGAACACCATGCATGCAGGTGAGCTGTCCCTACGATTCCCGCAGGAAGGGCGGCCCGGGGTGGGGGTAGGAGAGGATTGGGGGGTTCATCCAGCAGTTTTTGGTTGTGGCAGGCTCTGCTTTGGATAATTGCCCCCGTTCTCCTCCACGTAGACTGCCTCACCTAGAACACACAAACTGTTAAGGGGTGTAGGCAGCTCTGCCAGTGTTGCTCTGAGAATCTAGCACTGTGGCCACTTGCAGAGTAATTCTAGCAACTTAGGGCTTTGCCTCTGGCTTGGAGCAACCCAATCTCCCAGGGCTCAGGGACCACCTGTAAGTAGGGTAACCCATAGCACACTCTTTCTTCCCTTTTTCTACCTTAAAGTGGAAGAAGTTCCTCATTTGTCTGTAGACTTCCGGCTGTGTACCTGGCACTGTGCTGAGAGCTGGGGATGCCCTAGGGACAAAGATATACCCAGTCCTTGCCATCACAGAGCTTGTCTCTAGCAAGGGCTAGGCCACTAAATGGGTCATTGGAACAACGTGTGATGAGCATTTTGCTCGCGGGGTGGGATTGGCCAAGAGTAATGGAAGGAGGTTCCAAGCCAAGGCAATTGCCTTTTTTCAGGGCCGTGAGCTGAGAGGGAGCAGGTTGTGGCCAAAGAAGGGAAACTCAGGGGCTGTGGCTGGAACTGAGAGAACAAGGAGGGAAGCAACAAGTGATGGGCTGGAAAGGGGGGCTGGGTACAGCCACAGCAAAGGGCTAAAGATAGTGGGAACCCTAGAAAGGCTTTAATGGGTATGGCATGGCTGCATTTGTCTTTTCTCTCTTCCAGGAGTACTGCAGGGAACACGACAGCTGGCTGTTGAAGAGAAGCGGGCAGTGGTGTTGGGAGACCTCCAGACTGGACATGGCCCTGAGTCCAGGGGCTAACCTGGTCTTTCCTGAAGACCCAAAGATAATACCAAGACTCAAAGCCTGTGGGGCCCCAGTTTTAGGCCTTGGTACCATCCCTGGGCCCAACCCAGATATGACTCTTGTTCCTATGTTGAACCTACCCTTAAGTCCTGGCTTGGCTCCCATTCCAGATCTTAACCCAACTCTGAGTCCTGTCTCAGGGACCAATAACACCCCCAGGCCTGGGGATAGCGGGGCCACGGCTCCTGCCTCCCTCCAGGTCACCAGTTCTTGCTCTGGTGAAGCCTCGGACAGGGATTTGAGTCACATCTTGAGGCCTGACACACAGGGGACTCTCCGTCCAGCCTCAAACCCCACTCTGAGCTCTGGCTCTACTGAGCCCGCCAGTCAGAGCTCAGAGAACCCTGGGTCAAATTCTGAACAGGCCTTCAAGTGCCTCCCAAGCAAGACTTTTGATTTGGGTCAGAGTAACTCCAATCCTTCAAGGCCTGAATTAAACCCGTTCATAAGGCCCCATTCTGGAGAAGCCCTGGTTCTGGGCTGCTGTGTCTCCAGACCAGGCTCAAAAGCACTGCTTATTCCAGCCTCAAACTCTTCTCTGGATCTTCACTCCAGTCAGCTGCTCGGGGCAGGCTCAAGAAACATCTCCAACCCGAACCTGAATGTAGCTCCAGATTCTTGTGGGACCCTAATCCCGGCCACAAATGAGACCCTCACTTTGGCTTCACGTAACATCTCGGGGTCAGTTTCGAAAGGAGGCTTTGGTGCAACCTGGAGCACAAGTTCCAAGGGAACCATCAGTGTGGCTTCAAACAGATACCCCAGATCTGATTTGAACATGACTGTCACTCAGGCCTCGTGTGTGACCCTGATTCCTGGCTCCAGCGAGGGCATCAGCTTGCACTCCAGCACCCCGGGACCCAACTCCACCATCTCTCCACCCTCGTGCGTGACCCTGTTCCTGGGCTCCAGTGAGACTCTGAGCCTGGGCTCCAGCCTCATGTTCAGCGACACCTCCACTTTGACACTGAGCAGCCAGCAGGAGTATCCTGAGGACAGCAGCGTCCGCACCGTGCCCCTGGAGGGGAACCTGGAGAGTTGGGGCGAGATGGCCAGCCTCGAGGTGGGCCGGTTCCCGCCGGGGCTCCCCACCTCCGACACCGCCAGTAAGGACATGGCCTTCCAGTGCATCCCTGAGGGTGAGTAAGGCAAGCGCCACCACCCTGGAGAGGGCGCTGACCTGGAAGAACTCTGAATTCAGACTCACAGGGCAGGGAGGGAGTGGGGAGGAGAGAGGAAAGGGACAGCATGAAATAGGTAACATACAATCTATTGGTTCTACACAAGACATCTGGCTCTTGGTCTTTGCTGGCTGTGTGACTTGGGACAAGCTGCTTAATCTCTGTGAGCGTCAGCTTCCTTAACTGTAATATCACTATATGTAATACTTCTACTCTGCCCCAATTATAAGTCTATGAACTAACTATACCTTCCATTCAAAATGTATGCCTCTTTCTCCCTTGATAAATTTCAGACCTGGCTTCTCAGGCCAAAGTATGACCAGTGGAGCAGGCAGGCTCTAGGCTCAGTTCACCCTGTTGAGACTTTGTGGTTCCCATCTGGGCGTCCTGTTTGGACGGAGCCTGTGCCCCCGGCCTGATGTGCAGGAGTTCTGTAAATTAATCCCCTGGCAGTTTCTGATACTGTCAATATCTTCTCCCAATCAATTTTTATTTGTTCGTGTACCAATACAACATATATATATATTTTTTGAGACAGAGTCTCACTCTGTCACCCTGGGTAGAGTGCAGTGGCCTCATCACAGCTCACCGTAACCTCAAACTCCTGGGCTCAAGTGATCCTCCTGCCTCAGCCTCCTGAGTAGTTGGGGTTATAGGTGTGTGCCATCACACCCGGCTAACTTTTTCTATTTTTGGTAGAGTTGGGGTCTTGCTTTTGTTCAGGCTGATCTTGAACTCCTGACCTCAAGTGATCCTCCTACCTTGGCCTCCCAGAGTGCTAGGACTACAAGCATGAGCCACCGTGCCCAGCCGTAATACCATATTGATATTTTAAAAATTACCATGCATTCCAGGACTTGATGTATATTTTTTCCTTTTTTTTTTTTTTTTGAGACAGAGTCTCGCTCTGTTGCCTAGGCTAGAGTGCCCTGGAGTCAGCCTAGCTCACAGCACCCTCAAACTCCTGGGCTCAAGTGATCCTCCTGCCTCAGCCTCCCAAGCAGCTGGGTCTACAGGCATGCGCCACCATGCCTGGCTAATTTTTTCTATGTTTAGTAGAGACAGTGTCTTGCTCTTGCTCAGTCTGGTCTCAAACTCCTGACCTCAAGCGATCCTCCCACCTCGGCCTCCCAGAATGCTAGGATTAGAGGTGTGAGCCACCACACCTGGCCCAGCACTGGACATATTGCCAAAAAAAAAAAAAAATTACCATGGCTTTGTGAATATGTGTTCATGTCAGCTAGGTTGAGAATCCCTTCTTAAAATTCTCCTTAAAATTGACTTAGCTGTGAGTATATCTTCATTCTTCCTTACACATTTTAGAATACATTTTTCTAGGTCCTCAAAAGAATCTTGGTGGCATTTTTATTAGAATGTTATTAATTTATCCATCTATTCAAGTTTTCCTTTATATAGGATATATGCTTTACTAGAATTTAAAAAATTCTTCATAGGGGTCTGTTGCATTCTTTGATGGGTTGGTCCTAGATACTTTATAGATTTTATTGCTATTGTGAGTCATATCTTGTTGAATACAATTCCTGTTTGGTACTGATGCTGCTGATGATGTAGAAGAACTTTGTTTTTCCAAGTTTATCTCTTTTTTAAACACCTTTGTGGAGATATAATTCACTGTATAAATACAATTCACCTTCTGAAGTATACAATTTAATAGCTTTTATTATATACATGGCATTGTGCAACCATTGCCACAATCAATTTTGGAACATTTTTATGATCCCCAAAATAAACCCTATACCCCTTAGACATCACCCCAACCCATGCTTCCCAGCCCTAAGCAATCACCAATCTATAATACTTTCTCTCTATATAGTTTGCCTATTTTGGACACTTTTTATAAATGGAATCATGTAATACATGGTCTTTTGCGATTGGCTTCTTTCGCTTAGCAGAATGGGTTCGAGGTTCATTCATGTTGTAGCATGGATCAATCCTTCATCTCTTTTTATGGCCGAATAATATTTCACTCTATGGACATACCACATTTTGTTTATGACAGTTGATTGCCATTCGGGTTGTTTCTGTCTTTCGGCTATTTTAAATAATACTACTATGAATGTTCATGTACAAGTTTTTGTGTAGACATGTTTTCGTTTCTCTGTGGTATGAACCTAGGAGTGGAATTGCTGGGTCATATGGTAATTATATGTTTAATTGTTTGAGGGACTGCCGGGCTGTTTGCCACAGCTGCGTCATTGTTCACTTCCACCAACAGGGTACGAGGATTCCAGTTTCTCCATGTCCTCATCAACACTTGTTACTGTCTGTCATATTACAGCCATCCTAATGGGTACGAAGTGGTATCTCATTATGGTTTTGATTTGTGTTTCCCTGGCTAATGATTTTCAGCATTTTTTCATATGCATTTATTGATCATTTGTGTATTTGCTTTGGAAAAATGTCAATTCGTTTTGTCACTTTTCATTTTGCCCATTTAAAAAATTGGTTGCTTGTCTTTTTATAATTGAGTTGTGAAAGTTCTTTATATACTCCAGATTAAAGTCCCTTATCAGATATATGATTTGCTAATATTTTCTCCTGTCCTGTGGGTTGTCCTTTCACTTTCTTTATTTTTTTTTTGAGA